CCCTCTGGCGGCACAGCAGCGCCGGTGACACCCACAGGCTTGTCAGCAAAGCTCAGTGTGAAAATCGTTCAGGTAGCAGCTTCTGCTGATCTTCACTGCTTCTGGTTAAAATAACCAGCGGAGTTGTACCAGCTGTCCCTAACTAATGTCAACTCTATGTCTACGTACGATAGGAATGTAACATGTTCTAGAGGACGGTGTGTACACAAATGGTCATGAAGATCTGTCGTCTATCATCTTTTACATTACAAAAGAACAACCCCTGCACTTTTACTGGTGTTTTGTTTTGTTACTTTAACCCAAAGTGCTGCCAGATGGGCAAAGGAGTACTTTTAGCTGACCCCCCTGGCCCCGAAGCCAGCGTCCATTGCGATGTTTTACTGTAGACATTGTCCAATGCCAATTCAACAAACATTACCCATCTCTATTCGAGTGACACCTTTGTTAACATTGCTTCATCCATAACTATCACTATTGTGTTACCTGGTGTGGGTTGCAGGTGAAGGTATGTGTGTTGTCGAGTCTTTTATCTACAGCAGCTGTTAGATTAAACTGGACTCCTTCAACTTCTACAACACACTCGTACTGAGCTTCATCCTGCAGAGACAGAAGGCTGCGTTAAAAGACCATGATTACAAAGGTTAGTTCAGTATTTACAATGACAACAACTAAATTGAATGGAAAAACCAAACATACAGACAGTATATAATTTCTACATGTACATCAGACTTTGAAAGGACAAAGTCCACTTATATAGTTTCTGTTGAACAGTCTGACCTCCCAAAACAATGGGGCATTAGTTCACTGCAGATGTCATTACATGCGAATATAATGTGAAACTTGATACTGTTGAAACTGATACATGCCATAGAGAACAAGTGCAGCCTTGTGTATTCTTAATCATTGTCACCAAACCTGAGCCATAGTTTACATGTGAAAATACTTCCAGAGTATTTTAGTATTAGAGTATATATTCCAGAATGCCCTTCCACTGTTGTACTGACAAGATGACTCAGCATTCTGACTGCCATGTTTATGAACAATGACACAAGGACATGTCATTCTGATGCACTATGTTCACTGATGTAATTATTTACCTTTGAGAGAGAAACTGAGAATTCTGAGCAAATGGCACACTTTTGCAGGTAATCCACTGTGGGGTGCTGTTTGGAGAAATGCCCTGACTGTTTTGCAAATATCATGGGGGATTTGAGAAATGTACTAAAGCAACTGAAAAAAACTATAAATCTCATCGTGCTTGATCTTGTACCAGACTCTGAGCAAACACTTAAAGTAATGATGATGGACAGAAGCTGCTCTCACAGTGTAGACGTTCAGGTTGCGTCCCCGTAAAATCACAGTAGTGCTCAGGCCCATCGGCACCAAGGCAGAACTCTGCAGGGCGAAGACCAGAGGACAGGAAATGGGACCAGAAGAGTCCTACAGAGAGACAGGGGACAGGGTGAGACAGGAAGACAGACAGATTGACAGGCAGACAGGTGGACAGACAGATAGACCAACAGACTATCTCACTCTGTGGTTGAGGATGATGTGCTGGTTGGGACAGCTGTGGTTGTGAGTGCAGAGCTGGTCCAGAGGACACCAGTTACACCTCCACACACTGCTGACACACGCCAGACACCTGAAACACACACGCCATCATCATCACTGATCATTATATTATATTATTGTACTGTGTGTCTTATTGTGTCTTACTGGGAGCTCTGGTTCAGTCGGCTCACGGCTCCACAGTCATAGAAGGTCATGTTACCGGTGGTGATGATCACATGACCAAACAGCAGTGACACGGGCAAGATCATGTGATCTGGAACAGAGTCACACAAACTGAAAATCGTTTTTCCTCATTACTAGATCCATGAACAAATACTGGTCTCAAAGATGGCACCCGTTCACTTAAATGAAAACTGCTCACCAGGTGCATGAACCAAATAAGGCTTCTGGCCTCAGGATTTTGCAGCTCACTGCACATGCTCAGTAGTGTTTTCTGCTTGCTCTTCAACTTTACATTATGGTGGTATCCCAAAAATAAAACAAATTTTTCTAGGCTCTGAGGATGTTTTACAAACATAAAACCTCATCTATAGGGAAATTATGTCTTTGCCACATGGGATCTTTAGTTGCAGTAGTACAAGTGACCATTCGGGGTGTAAGCAAATATTGACACACTTGTGTATCGCGATATTACACTTTACAATACAATACTGATTCCCCAAAACAGTCTTGATTTTTAATTAATAGTTCACATGCCAAGTAGTGCTACATTGTTGGATGTTCCAGGGACTGTGACAAAAGCAAATGCAGATCCCTATTCTGACTGCATGAAAAAGTAAACTTTTTTTTTTACAGGAGATTTTATGCATATGCATGTTGCTTACTTTATGACAATTTTTCTAAAATTAGATTTAAAAGAAATCACAATATATCACCTTGTTTACAGTATTGCAATATATCATATCATAAACCCTGTATCATGAGATGTATAGTTTCACCAGATTCTTGTCAATATACAGCACTGATGACCGCTGAGGCTGATAGAGCACTGTAGCAGCTCTGTTAAAACATCCATGGTCCAAACAAACAAACCGCCATCTACTCACCACTTCCTGTTGGCATGGGTGGGAGGAGCTCCGGCGCAGGTGACTGACAGGTGATGCTGCTTCCTATGATGGTGGCAGGCTGAGGCGGGAGCAAACCGAAAACGCAGGACAGAGCCTCAACTTCAGTGAGGGCAGGAAGCTGGACAACTGACAGTATTACCTTGGAAAACAGACACAGGATCACCTGATCAGACAAACACCAGACACTGAGGTGATGCTCAGGGTCGCTGTTGTGTTGGGCCAGCGATGAGCTGTTGTACTGCCTCTGTTTCCAGGAACTTGAAAATAAAATAATCCAATTCTGTTTTATGTGTATAGCGCCAAATCACAACAAAAATCATCTCAAGGCACTTTACTTAGTAAGGTCTAGAGTCTAGACTTTACAGAGAGTCAAAGTGAAACCGGAACCTCTGGATTGTATTGCAGAAGAACCAAGATCCCATTGAGAGTTCTAATCTGGCTAATAAAAAGTTGTTTTCAATGGTATGCTGAAAGTTTCACTACATATTACTTACACTATAATGATATATTTTTTTAACTTAATAATGTATGTTATTAAATGAATTAAACCTAATAACGTGATATCTATGATTTACTAGGCTTTAATGAACACCATTTCCCAGAAGCCTGAGCCTGAGGTCCTGAGTTGAGAGATGACTGTAACTATTACACATCTTGTTACTGTATGTTTTTTGCAACTAAGAGAGGATGTGATATCAGAAACACACAGTTAACGCTGTGCTACTTGGACTGCCAAAGTCCAGAAGAGTCTAGTAAATAAGTGATGTACTGTATAATATGCGTGCTGCCTATACGGCCGTGCTGCACTCACAGGAACTCTTGTTTCTCCAGTGCTAAAAAAATACATTCTTAATTAACCTTGTTAAAACCACAGAGATTTCAACTGTCTGTGTCTTAGAATATGAAAAAAAATCCAGAGGAACTCCTGCAATGAAAAAAAAAAAAGCCAAATGAGAGATTGCATGAAGCAACTGGAACAGAGGCTAATCGGATATGAGGACAAGACTTCAGCTTTCTATAATATTATAAAAAGATTTTGTATCTCTGTTATCATATTCGGTTCTTTTTGTTTTTGATTTATGGATTTAAGGGTCCTTGAGGGAGTTTCCTGAAATACATTCTCATTGACTTCCTGATCCAAGAACAGTCCAGTCCACTTCTAATACACTCCCAGTTTAAATGCTCTGCTGGTACTCCAGGAAGCAGAGATGGCACAACACTTTGGGCTCATATTACTCCTCCTTTCAGAAGGTCGAGCTGCAACATCCACCACTGCGACAGCTGCAGCTGCTCTGCTGGGCTGCACTGGGTGAAGCTGTGGAGGTGGGTGCTGCTCAGACTCCACCTGTTGCTGTGCATATATTAACTGTAGCTGTCCTGTGAGCCTGTCTTTACTCCTGCTCAGCATTTCTCTGTGGATCGGGGAACACAACATCTACTGTAACAGAGTTTCAGAAAATTCCTGCAATGACCCCTTGCAGGCTCTGTACAAGAAGACACAAGATACTCTCTCTTGTAAAGTGAAGTATCAAATGAAGACATAACTAAATTAATAAAATAGAGCTGATGGAGACTGTGTTGGATTTTTTCCCAGCAGGCTAGGATGAAAAAAGCAGCTGCTGCATGAAATGACCCAAAATCCATTCGATGATTGGGAGAAATGAAGACTAGACTGTTCAATAATAAATAGCAATCATCATCATCATCATCATCATCATCATCATCATCATCATTTGCTGCTTAACAACAGTCTACCTGTGACCGCTCATCTTTGCTCTGATTGGCCGGCTGCAGGCTCTGCACTGCCACACACTGATTGGTTGGTTCAAAGCTCCAGAGCCAATGATTGGGCTGCATGTGACGCTGACACTGATGTTTACGGGAACATCTGAATAGAATAAATGAACAATAAACAACAACAAATGTTTTAAAATGATGATTTAAAGACAGACCAGCAGACAGAGACAGGCAGGCAGACCTACCTTCCCTCCAGGACACACCAGCCACAGTACGGGTCTCTATCGGTGAGACAGGAATGACAGTCTGTCTGTCTCTGACATGATGACACAGGAACCTTTGACAGCTGAGAGACAGACAGGAAGAAACAGGTCCATTTGTTTTATGGTTTAAGAAGAAGAAAAATTTGAATAATAGATGAGGAAAATTAAGTCAGATAAAAATAAAAACAAATCATGGACTGTCTCTCACCCTGCTGTTAGTTAAAACATAAATGTGCTGCTGGCTGTCATCCAATAGGAGGTCAGCGCTCACTGCAGTGCCACTGTCCACTGATACACTGCCATACAGATCACCGGACATATCAGAACGCACCAACACCTGCAACACCATAATACACACACAGGTCAGTTGTTTAAGTCAACAATTAAGAGCTAAACTCTGGATGAACTGAAACTGTTTATCAGGACTGAGCAAGCATTTCTATATAATTTAACATTTCCGTGAACAGAGCTTCATGTTCGCTAACACCACAGAAGAACATCTGTTGTCACAGAAACAAGCTGCCACCAGGTGGTGCTGTCTCTCCTTTGCAGCTCTGTAACCTACTCATCCATCCATTCATTATCTTCCGCTTATCCAGGGTTGGGCTGCAGTGCCAGCAGGTTCAGTAAGGCAGTCCAGACGTCCGTGTCCCTGGTGATGTGTTCCAGCTCCCATGGCAAGATTCCGAGGCATTCCCAGGCCAGATAAGATATATAAGCTCTCCAGCGTGTTCTGGGCCTACATCGGGGTCTCCTACCAGTTGGATGTGCCCAGAAGATGTCCAAAGGGAAGTGCTGTGGAGGTATCCTAATCAGATGCCCAGACCACCTCAACTGGCTCCTTTTGATGTGAAAGAGCATCAGTTCTACTCAGAGTCTCTTCCAGATGTCCGAACTCTGCACCCTATCTCTAAGGGTAAGTAATCTATTCTATCAGTGAAAATGAGCCAAAGAAAGACCAGGGGCACTTCCAAACCCTCATATTCAATCATCCTTTGCTCCTCAACTGACTGGAACAACTTCCAGGTCAAGGACATCCTGAAGCATTTGCTCCTGCTCTGAGGGTTGAGGGGAGAGGACGCTTTGGGAGATGGAAGTCTTTTACAGATTGACATACCCCTTTTTTTGGAAATAATATCTCTAAAAACATGTTTCTTTGAGTGCTCACTCCTTACATTTTTCCTGGCATCTTTTTGGGCAAGACCAAGACACAAGGAAAAGACTCAAGAAAAGGAAACATGGATTGATATAAAAGACTTGGTATGTACACAGTGTTAATCAGAATCAGAAACAAAATCAGAATCAGCTTTATTGGCCAGGTGTGTCGGAAAAACGAGGAATTTGACTCTGGTACATCGGCTCTCAATGTGTATGTACATGCAAGGAGCAAGTAAACAGGCAGTAAACAATGCAGACAAAGGAATGCTCATTGAAATGAGATAAATAGGAATAATAATAGGGTACTTAAAACTAGAGACCTGTACGACTCTGTATAATCTGTACAACAGGTCTTCTCTATTGGTACCTCACTGTGTATAGATAGTCAATGTAGCTTCACTACTACATAGGCACCCAGTGGTTTTACACAAAGTCAGGCCTCACAGGTTTCACATATTTCGTCCATTTCGACCATATCTGATAAAATGTGTCCTTCTACAGTCTGAGTGAAAAGGACATTTTTTTCCATTGCATAAATCTCTTGTATGATGTCCATCCAGTCATTGGTTGGTGGTTGTTCAGGTTTGATCTATCTTCATCCAACTTTTTTGCTCGCGGCCAGCAGAATATATCGTAATTTCTTGTCCTTCTTATTAAACCCATCAATTACTATATTACCCAGATACATACATGGTTTCAAATGTTAATGGTAAGGTAATTGAAAATATGTTTTGTAAATGTTCATGGATCTCAGACCAGTATTTGTGAACAATTTTACAATTCCAAAAGATACGGAAGTGATTCGCCCCTTTGTGGCCACATCTCCAACAAGCATCTCCAGTTCCTTGATATGTTTTTAGAGCAGGGGTAATGAAAAATCTGATATTTTTCCAACAAAATTCACGCCAAATTTTCGATTCTGTTGAAGCCCATTTTATCTGACATATGTGTTCCCAATTCTCCTCTGTGATAGTTAACCCTCCTTCTTTTTCCCACTTCTTTTTTTTGTTCTCCTCTGTGATAGTTAACCCTCCTTCTTCTCTTTTATGTAATATGGGTTCCTCCTCTTACTCTGCTGAATGCTGTTGTATAATTTAGAAATAATTTTTGTGGGTGACAATGATTTTGTTAGTGAAATAAATGTTTGAAGAAATCCCTGGTTGGCTAAGGGCACTTTGATATTCTTATTAAAATAGTGTCTAACCTGTAGGTATCTGAATATTAATAATAATAATAATGATAATAATAAAGCATCATTTATATAGCACTTTACAACTCAGAATGGGCCCAAAGTGCTGCACAGTAAAAACATATCTATAAACTAAAGCAATAATAAACAATCAACCAATGTTAAACAGTCAAAAAACATAGAACAACATGTACACAATGCCGTTTAAACAAATAAAACAAATTAAAGAGCAAAAGCCTGTTTAAAAAGGTGCATTTTAAATGTGGATTTAAAAACCGCTACCTCAGTAATAGACCTAATCTCAAGCGGTAGCGAGTTCCAGAGTCTGGCGCCATAAACAGCAAATGCAATGTCATCCCATTTCTTAGATCAGGACCGTGGAACCACTAAGGACAAGTTTTTAGAAGAGCGCAGGGCTCTGCGAGGAACATAAATGGATAGAAGTTCAGACAGATAAAGTGGAGCAAGGCCATGTAAGGCTTTAAAAACAAATAAAAGAATCTTAAATTCAAATTTAAAATGTACAGGCAACCAATGTAATGTGCGAAGAATGGGAGTAATATGAGCATACCTGGTAGTGTTGAACAATAGCTGGGCTGCCACATTTTGAACCAGTTGAAGTTTCCTCAACAAAGACTGTGATATACCAGCGTAAAGGGCATTGCAATAGTCTAATTGCGAAGTAATAAAAGCATGGATTGCTTTTTCTAGGTCTCCTTGGGGTAAGAAGGGCTTAACCTTTGTTAAAAGTCTAAGGTGAAAGAAACTGGTCTTGATAACGGCTTTGATCTGCTTATCAAAAGTAAAACCGGTATCAAATATCACCCCTAGGTTTCTTACTATGTCGGTGAATACGGGCGTAGGGGCCAAGAGACTGGGTACACCTTTGGCTGGTTCAGGGCTGATAACAATATATTTGGTCTTATTCTCATCTAAATGAAGAAAATTGTGAGTCAGGGAAAAAATTATTTGAACCCCAGCTGATTTTGTAAGTTTGCCCACTAACAAAGAAATGATCAGTCTACAATTTCAATGGTAGGTTTATTTGAATAGTGAGAGCCACAACAATAACAAAAGCATTACAAAAAAAGTTATACATTAATTTGCATTTTCATGAATGAAATAAGTATTTGATCCCCTATCAGTCAGCAAGATCTCTGGTTCCCAGGTGTATTTTATACAGGTAACGAGCTGACATTAGGACCCCTTCATCAGCTCATTACCTGTATAAAAGAGACCTGTTCACAGAAGCAATCAGTCAATCCAGATTCCAAACTCTTCACCATGGCCAAGACCAAAGAGCTTTCCAAGGATGTCAGGGACAAGATTGTGGACCTACACAAGGCTGGAATGGGCTACAAGACCATCGCCAAGCAGCTGGGTGAGAAGGTGACAACAGTTGGTGCAATTATTCGCAAATGGAAGAAACATAAATTAACTGCCAATCTCCCTCGGTCTGGAGCTCCATGCAAGATCTCACCTCGTGGAGTTTCAATGATAATGAGAATGGTGAGGAATCAGCCCAGAACTACTCGGGAGGAACTTGTCAATGATCTCAAGGCAGCTGGGACCATAGTCACCAAAAAAACAGTTGGTAACACACTACACCGTGAAGGACTGAAATCCTGCTGTGCCCGCAAGGTCCCCCTGCTCAAGAAAGTACATCTACAGGCCCGTTTGAAGTTTGCCACTGAACATCTGACTGATTCAGAGGAAGACTGGGTGAAAGTGTTGTGGTCAGATGAGACCAAAATCGAGCTCTTTGGCATCAACTCAACTTGCCGTGTTTGGCAGATTGGGGAATGCTGCCTATGACTCCAAAAACACCGTCCCCACCGTCAAATATGGAGGTGGAAACATTATGCTTTGGGGGTGTTTTTCTGCCAAGGGAACAGGACAATTGCACCGCATCAAAGGGAGGATGGATGGGGCCGTGTACTGTCAAATCTTGGGTGAGAACCTCCTTCCCTCAGTCAGGGCATTGAAAATGGGTCGTGGTTGGGTATTCCAGCATGACAATGATCCAAAACACACAGCCAAGGCAACAAAGGATTGGCTCAAGAAGAAGCATATTAAGGTCATGGAGTGGCCTCGTCAGTCTCCAGACCTTAATCCCATAGAAAATCTGTTGAGGGAGCTGAAGGTTCGAGATGCCAAACATCAGCCACGAAACATTAATGACTTGGAGAGGATCTGCAAAGAGGAGTGGGTCAAAATTCCCCCTGAGATGTGTGCAAACCTTGTGGCCAACTACAAGAAATGTCTGACCTCTGTGATTGCCAACAAAGGTTTTGCCACTAAGTACTAAAGCACGTTTTGCAAAGGGATCAAATACTTATTTCATTCAAGAAAATGCTAATTACCTTATACCCTTTTTTTGTAATGCATTTTTCTGGATCTTTTTTGTTATTGTTGTGTCTCTCACTGTTCACATAAACCTACCATTGAAATTGTAGACTGATCATTTCTTTGTTAGTGGGCAAACTTACAAAATCAGCTGGGGTTCAAATAATTTTTTCCCTGACTGTAAATCTGAATGTCATCCGCGTAGAAATGGAAATGGACATTGTGCCTGGATATAATTGCCGCAGGCAGTGACATATATAAAGAGAAAAGTAAGGGTGCCAACCGACCCTTGAAGAATGCCAGCAGTAAGATGGGCTGTGTCAGAGATAAAATCATCAATTATGACAGAGAAGGTTCTGTTTCTCAAAAAAGAACTAAACCAGTTTAGAACCGTGGCCCTCAGCCCAACTCAGTGTTCCAGTGTTGATCGACGGGCATGATCAACAGTATCAAATGCTGCTGATAAATCTAATAAAGCTAAAATAACGGGGCGCTTGGTGTCGAGAGCCATGGTGATGTTATTATGGGCCTTAAGCAAGGCAGACTCTGTACTATGGCGGGACTTAAATCCTGACTGGAATTTGTCCACAATGTCCAAACAATCAAGGTGCGACTGCAGCTGAGTGAGGACAGCTTTTTCCAAT